CCAGGGACATTAAAACCATGGGTTAAAAGATTGTTGGGGTACAGAATATTCAGACAGTCTCAAGTGATCATCCTACAGATTACTTACTAATTACAAAGGGAAAAACATGCTATTACAATAAAAAAAATCTGGCAGTCACCACTTTAACTGAATGATCACATTTAGTATCATAAATAGTGAACCAATATAATCTGAGGACCTCCTGATGGGAGGGAACATGAAGTGCACATCATCATTTATAAGTAGTGACCACTTAATGTATCACTCAGACCAGAATACTTTTAAGAGAGCAAAAAGAGCCCAGCCGGCGTGGCTCAGTGGTTGAGCATCTACCTATGAACCAGGAGGTCACGGTTCAATTCCAGGTCAGGGCATATGCCTGGGTTTCGGGTTTGAGCCCCAGTGTGGGGTGTGCAGGTGGCAGCTAGTCAATGATTCTTTGTCATCATTGATGTTTCCATCTCTCTCTCCCTCTCCCTCTCTGTCTCTGTCTCTCCCTCCCTCCCTCTCAGAAATAAATAAAAATATATTTAAAAAAAGAGAGAGCAAAAAGGGGCACTATTAATAATTATGCTATGATAACAGGTCACAGGACTATCCTGGAGTAACCTGGTAATATGGCCAACCTAGCTATGAAGTATTTATGCAAAATGTATTTACTCTAATAAAAATCCAGACTCAATTTCCAGTTTATAGAAAAGAAAAAGAATTAGTTAAAGAACATAAAAGGGAAATAAACAGTTAAAACCAGAGTGTGTGCCATATTATAAAACAACTGGTCTGGACTATTAAAAAGAGATAAGTTGGGGTGAGGACTATTTTAGATTAAAAGAACTATGAAAATCAAAATTGATATGTGAAACTTGATTGTAATCTGTATTTTTAAAATAGCCACAAAGGACATTTTGTATAATAGAGTAAATTTGAATTTGGGCTCATATTAATGTAACAATACAGAATTATTTTCAATTTCTTAACTATAATGATTTGCCCTCAGGTAGGATAATGTCCTAACTCTCAGACGATAAAGATGATGAAGTGTCATGATGTTTTCTGTTATTTTCAGTCCTTCAGTACATGTAGATATATAAAGAGCATATGTGGCAAATGTTAACAACTGGTGAATCCAGGCTAAGAGTATACAAGTATTTGTTATATTACTTTCTAACTTTTTATTGTAACTAAATGAAAAGCAGGAATCTGTGAAATATCACTAAATTAAAAACCAAATAAAATTCTCTATTTTATAGGCACCCAAATCTAGATTCACTGAAGAAGCAACCATTACCTAAAATAGGAGAAATTTTTTCAAAAAGCACCTCATTTTATAATTTCTAAGAGGCACTCTCACAACATTCTGAAGTTTCAATACACTTTTAAGTACAAGTCAAATTAACCTAAGGTGGAGACTGAAATGTGAAATAGGAATTCTGATGTAAGTAGGAAATAAAAGCAAGGGCCAAGAAGGTTGTGAACAATCAAAGTTGAGCAGACAAAGCAGAAGTTAATTTCAGTGGAAAGCAGAAAAAATGTCTCTGCTAATTGTTGTAAAGGAACCCAAAGGTCAAAAAGAGATAAGTGTACCCTTAAATAAAACATTCGATAGCTTGAACTGACAGAGATGTCAGTGTTTCACCTTTTATTCCAAGTGTGAAGATGGTTAGGACATTAATTTTTTACTTTTGCGTGTTCTAGAAAGCAAATTGCAATTCACAAATACAGAAAAAGCCTCTAATAGGAAATTGAAACAATTTAAAAAATTCAAATGAGACTGCTAATTTTTTAAAAAAATAAATGTTCCTCTCTCTCTCTCTCTCTCTCTCTCTCTCTCCCAATTTTTTTTGGAGGCAACCAAAATTTTTGGTGGCCTTGTTTCCACAAGGCTTAAAAAAAAAATTATGTTCAGCCCTGGCCAGATGATTAGAGCGCTGTCCAGTGTACCAAAAAGTTCTGGGTTTGGTTCCTGGTCAGGGCACAAATCTAGGTTGCAGGTTGGATCCCTAGTTGGGGCACATATGGGAGACAACCAATCGATGCTTCTTTCTCATACTGATGCTTTTCTCTCCCATTTCCTCTTTCTAAAATCAATGAACATATCCTCAGGTGAGGATAAAACAAAACAAAACACCTTTCTGACTCACTGATGAGTCTCTTTATCTCTGACATCAGATGCTGACCCATCACAACAGGTTTTACTCACAGTTACTCAAAATAACATGTAGTGTTACAAATATCTCCTTAATTAAAAACACTTTAGTTTATAGCTACACTTTATAAGGTAATTTATTAACTAATACAAAGTTGGTTTTCAAATTAAAAATTTAACGTGAAATCTATATGCAATAAAAGCACATATTTCATGTATAGTTAAAAAAGAACTGTTGCAGCCAAAGGCTTTCTCATTCTTCAATTCCTTTTGTAAGTAATGTAGCAAAATGCCTTCAAAAGAGGTAAACATTTACACAATGGCATAATTACTTCTAATAATGCATTTCTAATTTTGTTATTATTATTCAAGAGCCATATTTGGACACACACTCAGACCTGTAATTCTTTTATAATCATGTGGCTATTTTAAGTCAGTAGGCCAAGACGACAGTCATGTTGGTCAAATTTATAAGGCACCCAGTACATGCAGCCTGTATTCATGAAACTCAGTGAATGGAGCATAATAATAGCTTGGATCTTGTACCAAGAAAAAGATAACTTCTGTCATAGGGTGATAATTATAATTTCCAAACTGTGATTAGTATTTAAGTGAAATTTCAAAACCTTTGTCTTCATGAGGGTAGAGAGGAGAAAAAGGGACAGACAAGAAGGTGGTGACATTAAATTTCGTAAGCTCCTACTGATGACCTTTCATTGTCTAGCTCTAAGATGATTTATGGTATAATATGATTCCAGGAATTCTCCCTCCCTTCAAAACTCCTTTATTTATCACTTTGAGTAGAGTCATTCTGATGTTTGATTAGCCATGGGCTCTGGAGCCAAGGGAACATGGGTTTGAATCTTGCTGTTGACACATACAAGCTCTGAGATCTTAATATCTTTAAATCTTATTTTTTTTAATCTGCAAAATGCACATATGACTGGCATGCCAAGGCTGTTGGTAGGAGGATTAAATGAAATAACATGTGAAAGCATGTAGTACAGTACAAAGCCTAACTCAAAACAGGTGCTCAGTAAGTAGGTTCCCTTTCTCCCACGGACCCAAGGCTTTGAACCATCCCAAGAAGTACACACCAGTTAGTATCCTCTGAACTCGGCCCTCGAGCTCGAAAGTATCTGTACAGTGGAAACTTCAGTTCCCTGTTCAGAGTCAGTTTTCAAGATTATGATTCATCTAGTTGCTAATTGCTCTCATTACCCAACCCAGCAATACCAGGCACTCCCACAAGGTCACCACACCCTCCACACATTCAGAGACAGGTTCCAATTTTGGGCACCAGCCTCGCCAAGCAGAGCGTTTTGAACTTCTTTATGCAGAATTTGTTTTAGCACAGGAGTAGTCAACTAGATTGGAATACTGCCCCTCTCCCTCCAAGCAGGAGCTTTAATTTTTCCGAGATGAACCCCCTCCTTAAATTGTGGTAAGTAGATGAACTGGCTCCAGAAATTCTCTGAATACTCTGTGATAGGAAGGAGCCAGTAACACCCACTCCCTCACAGGGCAAACACACCCGTCGGCTTTCCTCTCTTTTGTTTTTATATCCCTGAAAAACCCAGAGCCTACATGAAACCAAAAGGTTAGTTAGATAGAACTGATGAAAGAGGACAGAAGTAGGATAACTTTGGCGATGCGCTGAGGTTCATAAAAACAGGGCCCACAGCTGCAGCATGAGAACCGAGGGCTTCACAATCAGAGTCTAAGTCACAATTTAAGGGCCCACCAGGTTCCCGGCAGTGCCCTAAGTGCCAGGTTGGGGCCAGGAATGTAAGTCAACGTGACACTTTTCTGGACCTAAGTGAGGAGGGAGGGAGGTTGGGAGGAAGGGAAGAAAAACATGTAAAGAATGCCCAGGAGCAGTAATAATAGCTAATGTCTTCTGAGCACCTACTCTGGGCCGGAAACTATCCTAAGCAATGTACACAGACAAACTCGCTCGATTCGCCAGAAAGCCCTAAGAACGCGCTTACTGCAGCCGAGGAAACGGGGAGCCGGCATGAGAATTCTGACAGTCGGACCAGAGGGTGGGACCGTGGCAGGTGCTGCTGCATCGAAGGCTGAGTGGAGCCGGTATGTGTCATTCCGACTTCGGGGGCAGCGGCACCCAAGAGGGGGGATCCTAAGGAACTCGGGGAAAGGTTTTCCTAGAATTCAGAAGGGGCTCCAGTAGCGGAAGGACTGAGGGCTGCCCCAGATAGAAGCCAACTGTCCCCCGAGCGCCCCCCGTGTGCTAAAGAAAGAAACGAACGGCCCCTTGTGGCACGCCGATGAGAGGGAGGTTGTTCCCCTTACAGTACAGTTTTACAGACTGTGATAAACGGCCACAATAAAGGTGCAAACAGGGCTATGGAAGCACAGCGGAAGGAGCCGTTAATTCTGGCACTGGAGGACGCTTGGAGCTCGCAGATGTCGGGAGAAACGATCTTTATGGAGACCCACGAGCTCCGCAGGTCCCACGGAAAGCGGGGATCCCCCCCTCCCCCCCGCCCCTCCGGAGGCCAGGCTGGGAGCCCTGGCCCGCCCTCCGGGCCCCGAGGCCTAAACCTTCGCCTCAACGTCCCCGCGGGTTCAAGCGCGCTGCGAGGCCAGGTAAATGGAGGCTCACAGGGTCAGAAGCTCGCTCCTCCTGCCCCTTACCTGGGGTCGGGGCGGTCCGGACCGGCTCGGAGCGGAGAATTCGCGGACTCTGGTCAGTCGACGCGAACAGGCTCCGGCGGGCGCAGGCGGAGGATCGAGGCCCAGTGGGAGCGGCTGACAGATACCGGAAACAGTCACAGCGCCTGCGCACGGCGGCCGCGCGGCAGTCCGCGCATGCGCAAAGCTCGGGCGTGAGGCTAGTTCCCCGGCGGGTGCGGCGGGGCCGGATCCCGGGTTTGAGTCTCCGTGTTGGTCCTTCTGAAGCGGAGTCACAAACCGGCTAGAAGGTGGTGACGAAGACGCGTAGGTGTCTTACTCCTTTCCTAGAAAATTCTTCATACTTGTGAACCGAAAGTGTGGATCCGTGGCTGTTTCACAGGAGCATTTGTCAGGGAATGAATTACTGAGAATTGGGGCCTTTCCGGCCTCAGGGACCCTAGGAACGACTATGTTTTTCTTTTTTCTCCCTTCAGAGAGCCCCCCCTCAGAGCCCGTTCCTCTGTGGAAAGCACCTGAGTTCCGTCCGGGGTTAGAATCGCTTGTTCCCTGCCCCCAGACGCGGGACGCGGGCGTTGGGGGAATTGAGCCGCCGAGACCTTCCCAGTCCCCCCGCTCCCTGAAGACAGTGCTTGCTTTGCAGATGCTTCCTTAACTTGTGAAGGAAACGGGGATTGCTTGGCCGGCTTGGCAAGCCCAGTGACAGAAAGTAACCACACAGGATGGTCTCATGATAAATTCCTGACTGGGTAGGTCACGGTGGATAGTCCTGTCCCAGTCCTACAGCTTCCTGAGCAAAGGTCAGTCTTTAAGTGAGCCCCGCCCATGGTTCTTACGCAGCTAAGATAGCACCTTGGAAATGTCAGAGTGATGTTCTCCTTCAGACCTCTGGAAAGCCCGCCTGCAGCACCGCAACATGAGACCACAAAACTCACTGTTATTTTGTTGCCTGCACACCATATCTATGTACTGTAATTATCCTCTACCCACCCATGTGAAAGACGTGTGTGCTTTCCCGTTGTTGTTTTTTATCCAATCTTAGACGTTTCCCTCCTTTGCCTTTCCTGCTTTGGTTTCTCCTGCTTCTTTAAAGTACCACCAGTGGATTTCATGTAACCTTCCTTTGATTCTAAATGTATAAAATTAGCTGCAAAACGGCCATTCTCCAGAGCATTTTCTCAATTCGTTGAGATTCTGTTTCTAGGCATATTTTCAAAAATTTGGCTCAAATTCATATAAAAGTTTCTATAGGCTTAGACATGCTTTTGTTGACATACAAATACCCTGAATTTCTAGCTAGACTTGTTGCCCTTGAACTCAGAAATGTAGGAGCACCACTTCTTCCACCGGGTCACTGCAAGTTACTAACCTGCTGCCTATTTTGTTCCTTCTGGTAGTTTATGAGTTTGACCCTAATGCTTGGTTGTAAGGTGATGTTCACAAAAGTGACTTGTCAGTTTCCCAATCTCAGAGTCTCAATATGTTCTCTGGGGTTAGTTAATTCAGTTGATCATGGAGCACAAATGCACTGGAAGTAACTGGTTTTACTTTGTCCCATGGCTACAAAGTCTTGGTCGTAGGAAGATTGAGGACAGTTTGAGAGTGGAACAAACATTATAACTAATCACCCGCTCCCAGAAACATCTTTGCAAAGGAAGGACAGCACATGGGAGCAAGGATTCCTTGTCTGCAAGTTAAATGCACCAATTGGAAGTATGTAGAGTTGGTACCCAGAGTCAAAATACCAACAGTGTTTTATTTAATTGCCCACCTCTTTACAAAGGATAGTTCCTTCTTTGAAGGAGTTTATAATTGGGTAGATGAAATGAACACAAGTCAATGATACCAGATTCTTTATAATACATGACAAGAAAAGAAATAGCCTCAGGAAAGTAACTGAGACATTTAATTTTAATCTCTGGTTCTATCTTTTTTTTTCTTTCACAGCAATTGTTTATTTTTCAGTTCCCATTTACATTCCATATTATTTTGTATTAGTTTCAGAGGTACAACATTGTGGTTAGGCACTCATATACTTGACAAAATGTTCCCCCTGATATTTCCAGTGCCCACCTGGCACCATAGTTTTTATTTTATTTTTTAATTTATTGTCTAAAGTTTTACATATGTTTTCTTTTTCCCCAATTGACCCCCCCCCCCCCCGCGCCATTGCCACCCGGGCTAGCCCCCACCTCTTCAGTGTCTGTGTCCATTGTTTATGCTAGTATGCATGCATACAAATCCTTTGGTTGCTCTCTAACTCCCCCCTCCCCTGCCATTTGTCTCTGGATCTATTCTTGTTTATCAAAATATGTTGATCATTATATCCCACATATGAATGAGATCATGTGATATTTTTCTTTCTCTGACTGGCTTATTTTGCTTAGCATAATGCTCTCCAGTTCTATCCATGCTGTTGCAAATGGTAAAAGTTTCTTCTTTTTTTTCTTTCTTCTTTTTTATAGCAGTGTAGTATTCCATTGTGTAGATGTACCACATTTTTTTAATCCACTCATCTGCTGATGGGCACTTAGGCTGTTTCCAAATCTTAGCTATGGTAAATTGTGCTGCTATGAACATAGGGGTGCATATATCCTTTCTGATTGGTGTTTCTAGTTTCTTGGGATATATTCCTAGAATTGGGATCACTGGGTAAAATGGGAGTTCCATTTTTACTTTTTTGAGGAAACTCCATACTGTTCTCCACAGTGGCTGCACCCGTCTGCATTCCCACGAGCAGTGCACAGGGTTCCTTTTTCTCCACATCCTCACCAGGACTTGTCGTTTGTTGATTTGTTGATGATAGCCATTCTGACAGGTGTGAGATGGTACCTCATTATTGTTTTGATTTGCATCTCTCGGATGATTAGTGACTCTGAGCATGTTTTCATATGTCTCTTGGCCTTCTGAATGTCCTCTTTTAAAAGGTGTCTATTTAGATCCTTTGCCCATTTTTTGATTGGATTGTTTATCTTCCTTTTGTTAAGTTGTATGAGTTCTCTGTAAATTTTGAAGATTAAACCCTTATCTGAAATATCATTGGCAAATATGTTCTTCCATGTTTTGTTGATGGTTTCTTTTGCTGTGTAGAAGCTCTTTATTTTGATGTAGTCCTATTTGTTTATTTTCTCCTTAGTCTCCATTGCCCTAGGAGCTGTGTCGTTAGTATGTCTGCTATTTTGCTGCCTATGGAGTCTTGAAAGATTTTTATGGTTTCCCGTCTTACATTTAAGTTCTTTAGCCATTTTGAGTTTGTTTTTGTGTATGGTGTAAGTTGGTGATCTAGTTTCATTTTTTTTGCATGTATCTGACCAAAATTCCCAGCACCATTTATTGAAGAGACTATCTTGACTCCATTTGTATGCTCTTGCCTCCTTTGTTAAATATTAATTGAGCATAATGGCTTGGGTCGATTTCTGGGTTCTCTGTTCTGTGCCATTGGTCTATATGTCTGTTCTTATGCCAGTACCAAGTGGTTTTGAGAACCGTGGCTTGGTAATTTAGCTTGATATTTGGTATTGTGGTCCCTCCAACTTTTTTCTTTTCTCAGGATTGCTGTGGCTATTCGGGGTCTTTTTTTAAATTTTTATTCCAGATGAGTTTTTAGAGAGTTTGTTCTAGATCTTTGAAATATGCCGTTGGTGTTTTAATGGGGATAGCATTGAATGTATAAATTGCTTTGGGTAGTATGGACATTTTAATGATGTTGAATCTACCAATCCATGAACACGGTATGTTCTTCCATTTGTTTATGTCTTCCTCTATCTCTGTTTTCAATGTCCTGTAGTTTTCCGAATATAGGTCTTTTACCTCCTTAGTTAAGTTTATTCCTAGGTATCTTTTTTTTTTTAATATATTTTTTATTGATTAAGATATTACATATGTGTCCTTGTCCCCACGTTACCCTCTACCCCCCACCCCCCCCCCACCCCCGCTCATGCCCTCACCCCCCCGTTGTCCATGTCCATTGGTTAGGCCTATATGCTTGCATATAAGTCCTTTGGTTGATCTTTCCCCCTTACCCCCACCCTCCCCTACCTTCCCTCCAAGTCCCGACAGTCCAATCAATGCCTCTCCGTCTCTGGATCGGTCCTTGTTCATCAGCTTATGTTGTTCATTATATTCCACAAATGAGTGAGATCCTGTGGTATTTATCCGCTCTCAAGTTCCATCCATGCTGTGGCAAATGGTAAGAGTTCCTTTTTCTTCTTCCTCTTCTTAAAGAATACCTTTCAGCATTTCATATAATGCTGGTTTGGTGGTGATGAACTCCTTTAGCTTTTTCTTATCCGTGAAGCTCTTTATCTGGCCTTCACTTCTGAATGATAGCTTTGCTGGATAAAGTAATCTTGGTTGCAGGTTCTTGCTATTCATCACTTTGAATATTTCTTGCCAGTCTCTTCTGGCCTGCATGGTTTCTGTTGAGAAATCAGCTGACAGTCGTATGGGTACTCCCTTGTAGGTAACTGAGTGTCTTTCTCTTGCTGCTTTTAAGATTCTCTCTTTATCTTTTGCTCTTGGCATTTTAATTATGATGTGTCTTGGTGTGGTCCTCCTTGGATTCCTTTTGTTTGGGGTTCTCTGCGCTTCCTGGACTTGTAAGTCCATTTCTTTCACCAGGTAGGGGAAGTTTTCTGTCATTATTTCTTCAAAAAGGTTTTCAATATCTTGCCCTCTCTCTCCTTCTGGTACCCCTATAATTCTGATGTTGGTACGCTTGAAGTTGTCCCAGAGGTTCCTTACACTATCTTCATATTTTTGGAATCTCTTTTCTTTTTTCTTTTTCGGTTGGGTATTTTTTGTTTCTTTGTATTTCAAATCTTTGACTTGATTCTTGGGATCCTCTTTTCTGCTGCTGGATCTCTGTAAATTATTCTTTATTTCAGTCAGTGTATGCTTAATTTCTAGTTGGTCCTTTTTCATGTCCTCCATGGTCTCCCTATACTTATTGAGGGATTCATTAAATTTATCGGCGGTTTCCATAAAATTCTTGAAAAACCTTATAACCGTGGCCTTAAACTCTATATCCAATCGTTTGCTTTCCTCCATTTCTGCCATTTGTGACCTGTTTCTTTGTCTCCGCATTTTGGCAGCTTCCCTGTGTTGATAGAGTGGCCCTGTGCGCCAGGTGTCCTGTAGGGCCCAGTAGCTCAGCCTCCCCAGTTACCTGGGGTGGACACTCTTGGTGCACTCTTGGTGCCTTGGTTGTTGTAGAATTACTGGGAGGAATTGACCTCCAGGCCAATTGGCTGTGAGAATCAGCTGTGTCTAAAGTGGGAGAACTTCTGTGGTGAAGACACCCTTCT